AAAAGAACGACGAAGGAACAACAAGGAAAAACCATAACAGAGGTAAATACCAAACAATGATCCAGTGAGGGTGTGGAAACTGAACCAGGCTTAAATACACTTAACAGTGGGCGGAGCTTATTTAACACTGTCCAGTGTTGACACAACACTGAGGAAGTCAACTCTGTGAATTAGCACCAACAGTGGAAGTCACTTTACACAGACAGTGTTAAAATAACACTAGGGGGAGTGAAATTGACAGTGAAAAGTTTAACACTGACATTTTAACACTGGTTTTTGCTGTGTGGGTTGCTGCAGGGACACAAGTCAGGCATGATCATTCTCCACTGGGGTCACCTGGGAGAGGGGGTCTGACGTTGAGCCTCAAAACACCTGAAATACATCGATAACAAATGCTTCCCAGCGCACCCTACAGATGTTCCATACTGTAGATGTTGAGGTGGTCTTCTTCTGAACCAGAGCCTCTTTAGGTGGATTTATTAGATCTTTTTGAACATCCTGAGGCTCCAGACTGAAACAGCGTCAGAATCAGAGAGCTGCCTCCTTATCAGTTAATGATGAGCAGCTTGTTATTGGTGCTGACATTTAAACCAAGTCTCTCCTCCCAAACTGTCAAACAGCTGGGAACAGCCCAAAATAAAATAAATATACCACCAAACTGTGGTGGTCAGACATCCAYGACTGGATAGCTGGAGCTGCTAATTTGTCATTAATGTCTCATTGTTGTCTGGTTTTAACAGTGTGTGTAAAAAATGAAGACTTGTGCCCGGCCATAAATCACAAAGCTTGGGTTCGGTTAGGGTTAAGGAGGAGTAATCAGTTACCCTCCAGCAGACACAGGATGAAGCTGAGCGTGAACYACCGGCTGCTCTCATTATCAGACTGAAACATGGAGACCAGAGATAAACTCATGAGCCGGAAAACATAACTCAGACTGAAGCTGCTTACACCTTTTTCACAAAACAACTAAAAGTAGATTTCTGTTTGTGTAGCTCTGGTAAAATAATCACTGAACATAAATCTGTAGATGTTCATGTCGCCCTGATGGTTGTCGCCTCGTTAGAAGTTTAACATGCGTTTGATAAAYGGTGAGATGACTGACAGAAGGCCGAAACTGCCTTTGTCCCGGGTAATGTGGAGCTGAGCTGCTAACTGGAGGATCATGTGGAAGCTGGAGGGGCAAGGCCCGCCCCACTAACAGATGGCAAGAGCCTGTTGTCAGAGAAATAACCCGTTATCCCAGCAGAGACATCAATACATCAGACATCAATAGCATCGTGTCAGATGTTAGCTTTTGAGCCGATGGAACTGCTTCTCTCTGACTCTGGAGGAGCAGTTAGTGCTCACAGAGGAACGTCTCCACAGGATCCCTGAGAGGGAAAAGCTGTCAGAAAAACAATACTTCAGCCGTGTCAGATGTGGACGGAGAGGATCGCTGCCAACTGCTTTGTTTTATGTTAATGTCACACTGACAAACTGCTGACACAAACACAGACAGGATCTCTCTGCCTCTGAGTCTGGACCGCTGTCAGGTAAAACCTCTGGAGCTTTCTGAAGACTGCTCTTTAAAAATGCATTCAAAACCAGGTCAGCTTTAATACCTCATGTTAAACATGGCCGTGTGTTCTCAGGATGTGTAACACTGATGTGTATAGTGGAAGAGAGCAGGGCTGAACTCAGACTCTGCTTGTAGGGATGTGGATAAATTTTTAATCCTGCACCAATATTAAATCTGACAGTGGATTCCAAAAGAACATTTCAAACCACACAAAATAACACCAAAATCATGTGATTATCTCAAGTCTGAGGGAAGTTATTGATGTTTGTTTGGGTGAAATCAGCTCATGTTTTCTTGCTGCAGGTCACAGCAGAACCAATGTGTGACCATTTCACCTTCTTGTTTTCTATTTTTGTTCACAACTTACTTAGTGTTCAAGATATCACCATGACATTTTAGGAAAAGATTCACATTCTGGTTTTTGTAGGAAACATCTTGTATCCTAAAAAACTAATAAAACTTAATAATAGCCAATTCAAAAGTAGCAGAAAAGGTATAAAATAACATTACAAGGCAAACTGCAGCATCAAATCAACTTAATGTGTCTTAGAAAGTAAGGAAATTAAAACATTTTAAAAACCAGGTGGACATGTGTTTTGTAAACAAAGCTCCTCAACCAATGACAGCGTGTTAAATGTGTCAAGTGACGAAGAAGAACGTCAAAACATTTTGCAATAAGCGCTATACCGGATTAAAAAAAAACATACTTCGACATTTCAAATCATTATCAAATTTGGAAGAAGGGCAGATAAATAATGTTCTTCATGGCAGCTTATCTCTTTAAGGGGTCACTAGAAAAACTCGGGTGATTTACTTTGATCTTCTTTTCAAAAAAATTGACTCTTCAAAACACATCAACAAAAGTTAAAAACTGGAAGACGAGGCTGTAGCTAACTACCTGATGTCAGCGGGATTTGTTGAAATTCGTAGATATAACGAAGCAGGAGGAAATTACAAGCAAACGCACCGAGCAGCCTTACAAAATCTGGTCACAGCAGTTTGGGAAGAAAATGGCAGCAGCTGCTGATGAAATGTCAACATCCCTACTGCTTGGAAACTGAATTACGTTTCAATAAGACACAAGGAAAATATTTTATCTTTAGAAAATCCTCACTGGAACCAATAGCAAGGCGGCATGGTGGCACAGTTGGTAGAGCTGTTGCCATTAAGCAAGAAGGTCGTTGGTTCAGTACCGGTCAAGCGTTCTCTGGGTACCCCTGTTTTTCCCACAGACCAAAAACAGGCTAAATGCTAACTCAAATAAGGGGTCTATTGTAAAACTGTTGGCCGGCACAGGTTAGACACATCTACATTCTATCAAATTTTACATTGATCGGTGCAGCTGTTTCCGTGATACGGTTGACCAAAAATCTCTAAAAATAAATAAATAGTACGCTTCGGGTGTGGGGATTTCCAAAGTCAGATTTTTAGTTTCTGTTTCTTCACCGTTTTCACATGAAGTCACACCAGCACCTAAATGCAGCCATCCATTACTGTATCTGTTACCCACTTCTTCCTGTCAGGGTCACAGTGTGAGGGGTGGGGTACACCCTGTACAGGTTAGTCCATCGCAGGACCACATACAGACAACTGCTCACTCTTTCACTCATAACTAGGGACTATTTAGAGGAGGGGGCTCCATCTGAGGGGTGTCTGGATATACAATAATGCTTGACTTAAAAGCTTTTCAACAGAAGAGCTTGAGATTTTCTTGTCTAGGTCTGACGAAGGGCTATCCATTGGACCCCCCACCCCAAGCAATAAAGTTTTGGGGCACACCTAGTAGCATAAAATCTGTCAGGAATGTAGACGTAGCCGACTTACTATGTACCAGCCAACGGTTTTACAATAAACCCCATATTTGAGGAGGGGGCTCCAACTGAAAAGAGGTGTCTGTTCGTATAAAAATGTTTTATTTTTGTTTAGCTCTGATGAAGAGCTATCTATTTGGCTCACTAATGAGTACCCCCGCCCCACCATCCCATCCAGACCCCCACCCAAAATAATAAATCTGTTCTGGTGTATATAAATACAGCGAGTAAAATAAGTATTGAACACGTCACCATTTTTTTCAGTAAATATATTACTAGAGG